CCCCAAAACCCCAAAACCCCAAAACCCCAAAACCCCAAAAATATGTATTATTATTGAAAATTCCTATTTATCACATATGGAGAGTACAGAGCCAGATGCCACTGCCAAGGCTGTGCCAGCCACCGATCCAGAGCCTGCTGAGAAGCCTGCAGAGACTCTTTCGCAAGAAGAGGAGAAGGTTTCCAAAAGAGAGCTTAAACGTAGAAGAAAAGAGGCAGAATGGAAACAAAAGAAAGAACAACTCAAGAAGGCCAAAGACAAGGAAAAGATTAATAAAAGCAAGCAGAAGAGAGCTAGACATGCTTTTGCAGCAGCTGATGGAGCTACTAAAGAAGTAGTTGATGAAGAGACCGGCCAGATCGTTGAAAAGAAGGTCAATAGGAAAGAACGCAAAGAAGTAAGCACCCTCTTTAATACTTTAGCTGTGGAAACAGATGATCAAAACCTGCATGAAGGTAGTTATAGGTAAGCCTTAGTGTGGAGAAGTGAACTGATAACTTATAGATTGTGATTTTGCAGAATGCATGAGTGATAAGGAGCTTAATTCCTTGAGCAAACAAATTATGTACTGTCATTCTGAAAATAAGAAAGCAATCAAACCTGTAAATCTTATACTCACAGGGTGAGGCGATATCTCATTCCAAGGACGTCTAAACCAGCATTCTGCTTATAACTGGGGAATTGATATTTATCCTAAGAAAAAGGAGTCTGGAGAGAATCAAGATGAAGAATCTAAAGAAGAAGCAAAGGGAGAAAGTCATAGTTGATACAGCCAGTTATTCGACAAAACAAAGCTTGTATACCTAACAGCTGATTCTCCTAACACATTAGAATCTTTTGATGATGACAAGATTTATATAATCGGTGGAATTGTAGATAGGAACAGACATAAAAATATATGCTTCAACAAAGCAACAAAGCACGAGATTGGACATGCCAAATTCCCTATAATGGAAAATGTCAACATAGGTGATTACTCCACAGTCCTGACAGTTAACCAAGTCATGAGCATCATCCTAGCAGTTAAGAAATATGACAATGATTGGAAGAAGGCTTTGGAGGAAACCTTGCCTAAGAGGAAGACTCAGAAGATTAAAGGTAAGAAAGCCAAGGAATCCATGAAGCAGAAAGAAGAGAAATAATCCACTAAAATATCACTATCTCTAAAATTGGGGTTTTGGGGTTTTGGGGTTTTGGGG